AGTGGTTTTCAAATGTTGGCATATTGCCCCCAACAGTCTGGGTCCTCATTTTACCAACCTTGGAAAGATAGAGGGCTGAGTCAACATTGAGCCAGTCAGAATCAAACTCCTGGCATTCAGCAGAATTAGCCTACACCAATTAGCTTATATTAAATAACTTGCACAGCCACTCTGTGACCAAACCATATCCATATTTTAATAGTTTTCTAATTGTCCCATCTACACTTGCAGGCTTACTATTCTTAAGTATTTTCATTGCTTTTTATCTTCATAAATGGTTTAGATGAAGGAATAGAAGGGGAACTCATCAAATCTGCAGATGATACTAAGCTGGCAGGAATAGCCAACATCCCAGAAGATAAGCTCAGGATCCAAAAATATCTTGACAGAGTTGAACAATGGGCCCTATCCAACAACATGAAAGTTAATGTGGAGAAAAGCAAGGTTTTACACCTGGGCAGGAAAAACCAAAGGTACAAGTACAGATTAGGTGAAACTTGGCTCAAAAACAGTAACTATGAGAGGAACCTTGGATTCTTAATGGACGATCACTTGAATATGAACCAATACTGTGCGGTAGCAGCCAAAAAGGCTAATATAATCCTTGGTTGTATAAACAGAGGCATAGAATCAAAATCACACGAAGTGTGAGTACCACTGTAAGGCCACACCTGGGATACTGTATCTAGTTTTGGTCACCACATTACAAAGAAGTTGTTGAGACAACTTTGGAAAAAGTGCAGAGAAGAGCAACTAAGATGATTAAGGGCATGGAGACTAAAACATATGATGAACAGTTGCTGGATTTGGAGTTGGCTAGTCTAGAGAAAAGAAGGGACTGGTGAGGACATGATAGCAGTAGTCCAGTATTTGAGAGGCTGCCACAAAGAGGAGGGGGTCAATTTAGTTTCCAAAGTACCAGAGGGCAGAACAAGAAACAATGGATGGAAACTAATCAAGGAGAGAAACAACCTGGAATTAAGGAAAAACTTCCTAACAGTGAGGACAATTAAGTAGTGGAACAAGTTGCCTTCCGAAGGTGGGTGCTTCATCACTGGAGGTTTTAAAGAAGAGACTGGACAGTCTCTTTTCTGAAATGGTATAGGGTCTCCTGCTTGAGCAAGGGGCTGGACTAGAAGACCTCTAAGGTCCCTTCCAGCTCTTTTCTGATTGAAAATTTATTCTTCACCTCTATTTCTTAGACATTAACACAATATTCAATTTAGTTCTATATTTCAACATATTTATTTTATTTCCATATAGATCCCTAAAATATTCCATCATTATTCTCTTATTTCATCTTCCTTCCACATCATTTGATTTCTATTATTTTTAATTCCACTCACTATGCTGGCGGCTCATTGTTTAGCCTCCTTCACCTAAATTATTATTTCCATTAAAACCACTCTGCCTTTTCTCTGCTTCTTAATCTTGTTTCTTGTTCTTTCACTATATTCCTTGAAACTATATTTTATCCTCTATTGACATGCAATATCTTTCATTCTCATTTTTTTTGCATTAATATTCCCTTACAGTAATTGCATTTCCAGAACCCTTTTTTTATTTTTGCACACCAGCAAAAATCTTTGTTCATATTTCTCCAGATACCCGTGTGACATTCTATAAAATAATTCCTTTTTCTCTGTTCCAAGCAGCTACCACACCCTCTTTCTACATTTTGTCTGGAAATTTAAAAATATATAGTCTAATGCTTTTTATATGATTAATATTTTCTTTTTCTCCATGCATTCTACTTTCACTTGTGTTTTTCACATCTTTCTTTTCCTTCCACATCCATTTTCCCAGAGACATTTTTGACTTTACAAAAAAAAAAGGTCTATCCCATATCCAGAATATCTCATTACCAATGTAGCTTTCACAGGTGTTTTGTCTTTCATTATAAGCAAGCATATCAATAATCTTTTCTATTTATTTATTTTCCATTTGCAGAAATGATTAGAGTTATGTGTAAATGACATATTTGAAATAATATCTTTCTCTAAGCAATCACCAAACCATCACCATTCGCATCTATTCTTGTATCTCCAGATGGCTCAATTTATTCTTAGATTGTTTGCACCCATCCATTCATTTCATCTAATACAGGGGTGTCAAACTCAAGACCCAGGGGTTGGAACTGGCCCATGGGGCGCTTAGATTTGGCCCGCGGGGTCACCCTGGAAACAGCGAAGGACCGGCCTGCAGTGCTTCTGTGAAAATGGAGCTCCGAGTTCCATTTTCATTGGCAAAGGGTTGCATGAGGCCGTGGCAGGCAAAAACTTAGCTCAGGAGCCCATTTTTGCTGGTGGCACACTCAGGCCTCCACAGGTGCCCCTGACACAAGTGATGTTGAGCTTGCCATGCCCACCACAGCCACGCCCACCACAGCCCCCCGAGGTCAAACACAACCTGATGTGGCCCTCAATGAAATCGAGTTTGACACCCCTGATCTAACAGAATAATGCTTACCTTCGGATTGCATTCATTTACAATGTTGTTTAGTTTTTTCCTCCAAAGTTATCCTTGGTTCCTCAATTATCCTATTATTCAGCAAAACATGTTTTCATCAAACTATGAAGTCCTACTTTGAATCACAGCCACAAAGTCATGGATAAAACCAATTAATATGTTCTATTTCCTTCATTCATTTCCTTAGGCATACATTTGACTTCACAAGATTGGACCACTTTCATGCACGTCTATTATATCTGTTCCCTTTCTCTTAGTTCCACAAACACATAACATATCAACCTTCAATTTATGATCTTTGGTTCAGCTGATTTTGAATGTAACAAGCAAAATCTAAGGTTATACTTTATGCAAAACAACAGACAAAATTTATTGTTTGCAAACAATCTGGACAATGCACATACATTATCTAAGTTTTATGGACATATTGTACAGTTTATAGACTCTGTGTACATCTTACTCATGCATAAAATTCCACTAATGGACATTAGGCTTTAACAGATTTCCAATTAGTCTGTGAAATCAAACATTTAGTCTATTTTTATTTCTTTATTTCATTTATTGTCACATACTTCACTATTTACTGTTCTTACATTTCAAGTTATTCTCTTCCATATGTCATGAATTTCGCTAGAGTGGCCTTAACATTGCTAGTGGGTGTCTGTGCCTGTCAAGGGTTGGGAAAAAGGAAAGAAACTTTCTAGTCACTCACACACCTACAGAAAATACACATGTACTATTTTTCTCTAAACTAATATTTAGCATTAAAAACTCATGTCACTCACTGAATCATCACTGGTATGGCAATCCATGCCGCATACCTATGTAACCTCACTGATCTATGCAGTGCCTCTTGCACACCTCCCACATACCCTCCCCAATCTGCACAGCACCTCTTTTGCACATACCTGACCCACACAGTGTCTCTTGCTCACCTCTGCAGCCCAGGTCAGGAAGAGTGGAAGGGGATGTGCAGGTTTCTATGAGTTATGCAGGATGGGTTAGGAAGTGTGTGCAAGAGGTACCATAGGGGTCAGGAAGGACATGTGAGGGTATTCATCCGATTCTCCCCGGTTTGGGGCAAACTGGTAGTGGTGGCTGTGGGAGGCTCTGCCCACCTGCCCCGACGTAATGCATGAGCACTGCGCATGTGCAGACGACAGCATGCATGTACAGACAAGGCACATGCAAGTGAGGCGAGCATGCGAGCAAGTGCGTTCACATTTGCGAACCGGTAGGAAAGGAAAGTGAATCCCACTGCTGGTGTGGGTGCAGCACAAGTTGGGAATGGTATGTGCAAAGTGCTGCACTACAGTCAGAAAGGTGCATGGGACTCCAGTACAGGTGAGGACAGGTGGTGGGGTTGTGCGGGAGAGATGGCATGGATAGGGAAGGGCATACAGAGATGTGATGCAAGTCAAGCAGAGTGCATGGGGGTGCAGGAGAGGTGTCGTGGGGGTCACAGAGGTCATTGGGATGTGGTGAAGGTCAGAAAGGGGATGCAAGTATCCAGTCCCCACAACCAAACCTCTTTGTGATTGTGATTGTTCCTGTTGGGTTGTCAGTTGCACATTCTTCTTCCTGAATTATTATTAGTATTGATCATCGCAGAGTCAGTCAGATATTCAGATTGGGTTTGACATTTTTGTCTACCTATCAAGTCCTTACCAAGGACATGGGATAGGCAGATCTGGATGTTTGACAGTGTTACAGATATCATCACAGGATGGAAGTGGTTCCAAGTAAGCCTGCCTTTTGCAATTGACTGATGGCAAATTTGTCAATGCCTATTATTATTATATACTTTATTCATTAAACATGAAACTCAGCCAATTGAACAATCAAAAATGCATTACAAATACCAGTGACTGGTGCTAATGGTTGATACAGTTTGCTACCAGTGTCCCAGGTATCAACCAAGTAGCTTCTTAAAGTATAAGATGTTTTGAGTAGCACAGTTTTTTGCAGTTCTGCTGGTGTTATTGCAGGAAGTTGCAGTTTGTTGATACAACTTGTAAAATTCTTGGACATGGTGTCAAGTGCCCCAATGACCATGGATATCACTGTTACATGCTTCATCCATAGCCGTGTAGTTTCGGTGGACTGGTATTATTATTATTATTATT